TCCCTACATCGTTCTTATTTACCTATTAAGAAAAAAATATTGCGATATTATTAACACTTAAATAAATTGAAAGAAATCAAATATTTAATCGAACATAACATTAATATCTTATAAGAACAAATTAAGGTTTCACAATAAAATCTAAGCTATAAAAAAATTAATCGAATCTGAAAACCATATGAAATCAAATTTTAAAAATTCAATCTAAGACCTAAATAATAAATTAAAATAAGAATTAAAAATCATTAGTGTTTTTTTAAAGATAGCAAAATAATAAAATACTTTTAGACTCTTTTAATCCCATATTTTTTAAGTAGTATTATAATATATTTTTAAATATTTGTATAAAAATATTTTTAAAAATATAAGTACCAAGTATATCGGGGCACTAACCTATACCCACTTAATAACTTCATACCCATCAAATTTGGATCGGGCACCCGCAGATACCCACACCCACGGATAAAAGCTCGTCCTTACATTTGATTCATTTACAACCAAGCACCTTTTTTTTTAATTATTTTTTAACCATACGGAGAACCTCGTCGTCCTCTCTCTCTCTCTATTCTTTGTACAACTAGGGTTCCCATTACATTTACGGCAGCACAACCTAAGCAAATCTTCTTCTTCGATTTCGCTGCTCTCGTCTAAGAATCTGGTAAGGTTTCTTGTCTTTAATCTCGGAATAATACTTTCCCTTCACGCCCTTGGCACAATTGATGAAATCGGAGGAATTGATGGTAGGGTTCTGCTGAGCCCGAGGAAGTAACGCCACCTTCGATTGCTCTCTCTCTCTCTCTCTCTCTCTCTGATTTTCTTGAAACTTTCGTTATGTTTGTTACCTAACATATTTTGTCTCTTTTAAAAAATTCAGAGGTTTGTTCATGTAAATTTGTTTTTCTTTGGGTAATTCAACTAGAGTATGGTATGACTTCGTATAATTTGATTTTTTTAGTATGGTGTATTAATTATCATCCCGTTATTTTAGAAATTAGTAAACTTCTAGAATTTCTTTTATGTTTTCCTGACTAATTTATGTCTATACTATAATATTAGTACCGATACCGACCAAAATATGTTGTAGATTTAGTGTTTGTATTAAGCACTGTGTGAATGGTTTTTAATGATTGGTATAGAGTAGGATTATTTTTCTCTTTCTTTGTCTGGTAACTAGATTGGGTTAGAGCTTCTTCTGTAATCCATATGTATTCCCACTATATGGCATTTTTTTCCTGGAATATCTTTGAGTTTATATTTGTTTATTTGGGTCTTTCTTTAGTTAGTTTCTGCACTTGTTGCATTATGCGAAGGTTTTATGCTTGTTCCTTTACCTAATTGATTTTTTCTATTAACTCACATTCTGCTATAAGTGTTGCTGTTTATCTGTATGTAATATTCTATGTCATTGTTCTGTATCATAGTTATACTTTACTCTTAGATACTTTCTTCTACTAAAAAAAAAAAAAAAGTGGGAGAGTATCGTTGTTTGAAACTGTGAGAGTTTAGATTGGTTATCTATAAACTTTGTTCGTTTGTCAGTTGAAGTCTAACTTCTAGTATATTATAGTATGAAATAGTTTTAGAGGGAAGTTAATCTTTACTGGGTGTTCATTGTTTATATATTTTAGTTTTTGTAGTTAGAGATTGTGGGAGTTGAATATGTGTAAGATTTTGGGAGATAAATCGGTTAAGAACCCATTAGGTTGAACTCACCCTTGCAAATCCTACTTGCAAAGGGAGAAGGGCTTATAAACCTACTAATCGGTTTATAATTGTTTCATGTGAGACTTTTGATATTTAATATTCTACCACGCTCTGTAACCATGGACGGCGACCCATCTTCCCAACATGGTGGGACTTAAAGCCACGACGTGGTGGACTGGCTCTAATAAAAATTGTTAGGAACCCATTAGGTTGAACTCACTTTCTTGCAAAGGGAGAAGGGCTTATAAACCTACTAATCGGTTTATAATTGTTTCATGTGAGACTTTTGATATTTAATATTCTACCACGCTCTGTAACCATGGACGGCGACCCATCTTCCCAACATGGTGGGACTTAAAGCCACGACGTGGTGGACTGGCTCTAATAAAAATTGTTAGGAACCCATTAGGTTGAACTCACTTTTCCAAAACCGGCTTGCAAGGAAGCGGGGGGGGGGGGGGGGGGGGGGGGGGAGGCACA